TGGGTAACGACAATGGCAGTTGGGATTAAGACCAAAGATTAATGGGAGATTTGGGGTTCAGAAAGAGCTTCGCACTCTTAGGTGTCATCACAATTTTGGAGATCCTTCAGAAGCTACACTCGAGTCATTCTGACGGCCAGTTCAAAAGCATTTGTGTTATTGATATTGAAGACACCTATCCTTTGGTTCTTTTCCGATTAAAAGTTGTCATGTAGTTGCCTAAAAATTCTTCGCATTTATATGAATAAAGAGATATTTTCCCTTCTTAATTTCCCTTTACAAGCATCTGATTTTGAAAAAGTTAAAACAATAGCTTAACTTGTGGCACATGAGATCATTTTGTATCATTAGGCAAAAGGTTTTGGAAAATGCAGGTATTCTGAAGCTGACCTTGGTTTTAACATGTATGTTTGTATGATTATGGGAAGCAGAAACCTTGGGGTTCATAGAAAATTCCAGCAATTAATAGATGACCCAAAGATGTTGTCATTTACTAAGAAGATTGGTCGGGGTACCGGCAGGTTTCAAGAAAGAAAGAAGTCAAAGTCCTGTCGAGCCAAAAGATATGGTATTGAGAGTGTGGTCAAAGGCTCTGTACCCGAAACGAAATCGAGTTCCATTGAAATCAAAGAGATGATGTTCCTTCGAAGAAGAATGCATTAAATTGCACATTTGCATACATTTTAGGCATGAATAGGATCATGACATTGCATGATGACTTAAATATTTACAGGTTTCCCAACGATTGTTGAAGATTGTTCGAGTCTCATACTCTCTGAAGAAATAGGGAGCAAACACGATTGTTGAAGATCGTTCGAGTCATACTCTCTTAAGAAATAGGGAGCAGACACGATTGATGAAGATTGTTCGAGTCTTATACTCTCTGAAGGAATGGGGAGCAGACACGATTGTTGAAAATTGTTCGAGTCTTATACTCTCTGCATAAATAGGGAGCAGACACGACTGTTGAAGATTGTTGGAGTCTTATACTCTCTGCAGAAATAGGGAGCAGACACGATTGATGAAGATTGTTCAAGTCTTATACTCTCTGAAGGAATAGGGAGCAGACACGATTGATGAAGATTCTTCAAGTTCCATACTCCCTAGAGAAAGGGAGCGAACCCAGTTGAAGATGTTCGAGTTCCATACTCCTTAAAGAAAGAAGGAGCGAACCCGTTGAAGAGATGTTCGAGTTCCATACTCCCTAGAGAAATAGGGACGAACCCATTTGTTGAAGATTGTTCGAGTTATACTCTCTGAAGAAATAGGGGGCAGACGCGATCGTGAAGATTGTTCGAGTCCTATCTCTCTGAAGAATAGGGGGCAGACAAGTTGTGAAGACGATCCAAGTCTCACTATCTGAAGGAAAAAGTGGAGCGGATTAATGTGTCAAAGTTATTATGACCAGACAAATTTGACCATCTTTTGATCTTTGCTCTACTCGTTGCACGATATTGAACAAAGAGGGGCAGCTGTAGATGCTCATTTTGTCCGGGACGTCTTATGTGTATCCTTATGATTAATTTTTGGTTATTACTAAGTTCGTAGGACGTGTAGTTAGGGTTATCATTAATGATATGTTGGATTTCATAGTGGTTACGTGTTCTATATTAGGGATGATACGAGTATATACATTGGGTACTATAAATATTATAGTATTTATATATATAAATAAGTAAGTAACTAATACTGATTAATGTTTATTTTGGTGTTTACAAATTCTAATTAAACTAAGATTACAACAGGCTGGACCAAACGAGCCAGTTCCCAACAACCCAGTTCTTCAGCCCAACTGAAGAAACCCTAACCCATTAGGGTTTCTCGTCACCAGCCTCTAGCGCCGCAGCAGGAAGGCCGTTGGATCTGGCTCCACGATCCAACGGTTCCCAGCCCTCTGTGATTCCCGAGCCGACTGCAGACTCACGTGAAGCCACCACCGCATTTCCAGACCGCGCACGACCAACCGAGCAATGGCTCAGCTACCCACAGCTGCCGCCCGTGATCTGCTCTCGCCAGTGCCCTGCAAACACACGAAACAAGAAGCAGAACAGAAGGCAAAAAAAACAGAAAGAAAAAATCAACTAGAAATAGCAGTGAAAACGAAACCAGAGAAAGGGGATTTTGGTTCAGAGGGGGGGTGATCAGTCATCATCCAAGCAAAAAAAAAACGCTCAACCCATCAGCTATCATCGAAGGAAAAAAGCACAAAACCAAAAAACACAATCACCAAACCAGTCATCACGAAGCAGAGAACCAACCATCAAAAGGACCACGAAAGAAGAAATCCAGAACCAGAGTCCAAAAACCCATTAGCATATCAGTCAACAAAAAACGAAGAAAACAAAAAAAACCTTCACTTCCTTAGTCGAAGAGCAGAACGTCGCCATCGCCCAAGCCCGAGCCACGTTGGGTCATCAAGGGTAAGATTCGCGTGACTCTTGGTTCCTGTTTCGAGTGGTGGGTATGTAGGGTTTTGTTTTCGTGTTTATTCGTGGGTCGTAGGTCTCTAAAAGGCTAGATCTAGTTGGGGTTTCTGAGTCAGGACATGGGGGTTCTCGTCGGAGTGTTTAAGTGGTGGAGGCATGGGTTCTGAGTAAACAGACGAGTGAGAAAGGGGGAACCCACGGGAGTCGTGTGGTGTGGCAGTGAGGTTAGTTTTGTTTTAGCCCTTTTGGTTTTGGGTTTGGTCGGCAAAGGGTCAGGTGACGTCTAGGCTCCTCATCGGAGCCCTTAGGCGGCGGAGGCCACGGCGGTTGGGGGCTTCGGTGAGGGTTGAAGAAGAAGAGGAAAGAGGTTGAGAGAAAACGGTGGGTGGGGGTGAGGTTTCAGCTGTTTAGAGATAGGATGAGAATGAGGATTAGGGTTAAAACTTACCTTTGTTCCATATATCCAAAACGCCAAAACGGCGTCGTTTGTGTAGTTCCAAACGGCAGCGCATTGAGTCTGGGAGTGATACGCCGCGTTTTAGGATAGTTGGGTTAATCTGGTACGAGATCCTTCAGTTTTGAAATGTTTTGTTTTGGCCCTTGAATGTAATATGTTTATTAGTAACTTGGTCTTTATTTTCCGAGCATTCTGTTTTAGTCCTAAATTTCTGTGTTTGTATTTTGGTCTGTGTATTGTAAATATGTTATGTTTTAGTCCTCAGCCTATGTTATTTCCCTTTTAGTTGTTTTCACATTTAGCTTGTAATTTCTTATTTGGTAATTCAATCCTAGTTGTTTGATTAATTTACTAATCAGTTTGTATTTTGGTTGCCTAGCTTTAGCGTTTGTCATTTTAGTCCTATATGGTGGCATTAAATTTAGAATTGGGTTTTAGCTGTAGATTTAATTTTGTCCATAAGTAATGACATTCATATTACTACTTTATGTATGGTATGTACATTTTTAGTATGTATGTTATGCAATTTTTATTTATTTTCAACCTTAAGTAAATGAGATAAATATTATATTTGCAGTTATTAAATGATTAGACATAAGAAAATATTTGTTGCATATTAACATAGTAGGTTTATTTGTTTAATATATAATTATATGTGCATTTTTAGATTAATATTTATTCGAATGAGTTGTTATTTAACTAGTTTATGTATGATATCTCATAAGCATGACTCGATCTAATCACATAATCGGAATTAAGAGTAATGCCCTTTTAATCTAAAATTATCAGAATGACTTTCCTTAACTTACAGGAAAGTTGTTTGACGATTTTAAATTAAAATGGTATCCCGTCAGTGACGCCTAATTAAATTTGGATATATCATTGTAAAATTTGGGAGCGAAAGAAAAGGAAATATTCGACTATTTAAACTTTTCGAGGAAAAGGTCATTAGAACTGAACTAAAGATTGGTCTCGATATTTTTAAATAATCGAATATTCTTTATCTTTCTAATGACTTGGTAATTTTAATTAAATCTGTTTTGTTCCTTTTCAATGTTTCAAGTTTGCATTTTTGTTGTCTAAAGGGATCATTAATCAAATTAAACTCAAACTTGTGAAATTCGTTGCAAAGACAATGATTAATCGACTAGGTACCAATTTAGGGCGTTGTGGGGGTGCTAATCCTTCCCCACACGTAACGACTCCCGAACTCAGATTTTGAACGCAGACCTCTACTTGTCGTTTTAATTAAAATTAATTTTTATTTAAAATGACAAAATGTTTTTGGGTGCCCGATCACACCCTAATCAAATATTGGTGGCGACTCCTCGAACCTTATTATTTTACCGTAACGGAATTTCCAATTTTTCGAAACGAGAGGTTTTCTAAAATTGCATCGTTTTTAAAATTCAATTGAAAAGAGAATAATTAAAAATGACGCGATTTCCAAAATCTCGCCCCCCCGCTCCGCGTAAAAATCGTTTCGACACAATCTAACTCGTCCATATATATATATACATAAAATTATTATTTTTTATACAAACTCATTTGTTTTCACACAGAAGGCTTTGCAAGATTTGAAATCAAAGTTGATTTGATTTTACTCTTCAACATTTACTTTGCATGCATGACCATTCATGGAGCACCCTAAACCCTAACGTGCATAGAGCAACCTTTACGGGCACATGCATGTATCAAGGCAGTTGTGCTGCACGGATGACAGTGGCGATATAAGCTTGCAAAAGGCACGGGAATTACGTTGAAGACGCATAATAATCCCCGTGTCTTCATCTCAAAAACATAAGGATTACACCGCGTCTTCACTGTGTTATGGCTCAAAGACGCTTAGAAATCCCAATGTTTTCGTCAGCTTGCTATGACTACATGACGTCTTCACGATTTATTGTACAAAATGCCCTACCTGAGAAATAATTTTCAAGAATACATTATTTGGGTAATTAAAAATTGAGATACATTATCTCAACTTTTACCATTTATCATTGGTTTTGCAAATTATATTTATTTAAAAATACTTTTATAATAATAATACCTTTTAATAAACTTAAATTATTTAGAAAATTAATTTAAATTATATTATATAAAAATAATCATATCTGAAAAAAAAAAATCCCTTTGTATTTACAAACCAAACAATCTCTTCAATCTTAAAGGTGTATTCCAAAACTAACATTTTTAATCAAGGAATGAACTTCATGTACATAAGCTCACTGCTGACGTTTGATCCAATGCCACATCACCATTAGCTCACCAATAGCTGTTCACCACGTGTAAAAGAGCTAACTTGACCCATGTCTAACCCGGCTTGAACCACAGCCGGAGCTGTTGCAACTGCCTTTCTCATCCTTTTCGGCGACGCTTTTCCCGACAAAGACGGCTCCGGCGATGCTCTCTTAGACGTTATTCGGATCGGATCAGGCTCACCAGAATTCACCCTCAACGGAAAATTCAACAAAGCTCTGGAGCCACGCATCCTGTAAGCCGCTTTATCATAAGCCAAAGCCGCATCCTCTGCCGTCTCGAAAGTACCTAACCAAACCCGAGCCCCGTTTTTAGCCGGGTCCCTAATCTCAGCTGCGAACTTCCCCCACGGCCTTTGCCTAACGCCCCTGTAATGCTTCCCTTTCGAAGGAACCACCGCGGGAGCCGCCGTATCAACTTTTTTCACCGTTGTGATCTCGGACGAGAATTCTTTAGGCTCCGGCTTAATCGTCGGAAAATTCGTGGAAGAATTATCGGACGGTGCCCAGCCGAAGGTGAGGGCATCTCGTAAGAGTCCGAAAACTAGCATGTCTTCGGAATCATCTTCTTTGAGAGGGAGATCACCCCAGGTTTCAGTGAAACAAGGATACAAACGGCTGAAGCTCGAGCTCCTGCAAAACACGAGGGGAACGGCCGGAAAATCGGCGGAAGCAGCGAGTCGAAGGTCTGATGACTCGTTGAGTAAGTATTGCTGAACTGAGTCCAGCATAACCAAATCGGAATTATTTGAATTTGAATACATCTCCATAGCCAAACAAAACAGTTTTAACTCTCTCTTTTTCTCTCTCTCCAAACTTTTCAAGTTTCCTCTTCAAAGATCAAAGGGAAATGGGTTTTATAGGGAAGATAGATGCATGAATCCGATCAACTTTATTTTCTTTCCCCTTTAAAGTTTGAATATTCTATTTTTTTTAAAAAACAATAACTTTAGGGAGTGTATTTCATCGAAGGCTCATTTAAGACACGTGCCTGAAGTGTTTGGATTTGTCGGGTACCTCCAAATTCGTACACGATGACGTCATCGTGTTGACAGCACCAAATAGTGGCGTGCCTTGTTGCCCACTTGTTCATTTTATTGGCAAATCGTTTTCTTTGGCCTTAATTTTAAAATATTTTCACATTTTCTTCCCTTTTTAATTACACATACATTGGCTCTGGGCACGTTCTAGAAGGAAACAATATAAATAAAGCTCTGGATAAGTTTAGCCTAAAGTCAACAGTTCATTAAAAATCTTGCTGTTTCGTCGTAATTGGAATTCTAGAACAATATTTTTAGATATAAAATTGTTCGACAGTTAATCAAGTTTATTCATCATACTTTAGTTACTTGTAATTATTATTATCTTATATATGATATCAACCCTAAGATTTGTCTTAAAATCTTTCGATTAAGATCAAGTGAATGATTAAAATCTTTTTATTTATTATCTTCCCTTCTTGTGGGAAGAGAAGACCCCAATCAAATATCAGTCAACCAACGTATCATCACCGACCATGATTTTTCAATCCAATCAGAAGAGATAAACAGTCAATGATCGATACAACTCGTCGATCACTATCAACAAATATAACTTACAAATATATTTTCATATAAAGAATATATTTACTTAAGCTTTCTCAAAGATCATCCTTTGCTACTCGACCGTGAATGCTCTTTTGAAAAGCTTCTCAACTAAAACACAATGTCAGGTCATCTGAAACAGTTGAATTTGTAATAAGAAGTTGAGGAAAAGATTGGTCAATTATACGACATTGACCGGGGAAAAGTCGTCTCTTCTGTTGCTGTACTCAATAGTTCGACGGCAGTGGAACTGGTCACATCGTGCCATGCACGTGCGAGTTTCAACCTTCCGGTTGTTAATTTATTTTTTAAGTCATACAAAAATAGAAGTTTTACATTACAGGGTATAATATTTAACATTTGAATGAAATCACTCCATGTACTATTGAAAAAACAATATTATTGTATCACCAGATAGACTTTGTAGTTGGTTTTTTAAATTAATCAAAAAGTAATATTATTATATCAACAAATAGACCCTGAAAAATAATAAAAAGTCAAATTTGAAGGTCGACTTATAAACAAAGATATTACATTTTCTCACGGTTGAAAAGTTAACAGCACGTGTGAACGATTATATAAATTAATATCTTGTGAAAATCTGCTTCTTTTGAAAGATTTAAAAAGTATTTTTTTTAACATTAAAACTTGCATGGCTTAATTTCAAAAAGGAAAAAAATATATAAAAGTTTATTTATTTATTTATTAGTCCATGCCAGCCCATAAAAGATGTTCACCCCTAAAACTAAGTGGAGGATATACATTGATTTAAGTGGGTGAGTTTATTAACGGAGATTTTTTTTATATAACTCGAATATAAGGCTTTTCTTAAGTTATATTAAGTTATTTATTACTTGAACGCTCACATATTTATTATTCATAATGCTTGAACTCTATCCCTAAAAATATAATAATAATTATTTTACCATTTATTCGTGTTTTTTTAAATTTATTTTCACATATAGAATTGTTCTTACAATGTACTGAAAAAAACAATGAAATTATAGGACGCTTTTGAGGAAGAGACCAAAATTATAAAACGTCTTCCGAATGATGATGACAACTTAGAAAATTCACGTTCTTACTATATTATATGTGAATATTAAAATATACCATATTATCTGATTATATTTTAAAAATATTAATGTTATCCACTAGTTTTTCTTAGAGAAGACAAACTGGCGGGTCGAGTGCGTATATCATATTTCTCATCCTCATACCCACTTAATATTTTTAAATTCACCACCCGCCCACCATTTATAATAGGTAAAAAAATTTAAATCCACACCCGCCCACGCGAGTACATTCTTAAATCCATTCTCACACCCACTACCCAACTGGAGATGTACTCGGCTAGACCCGCTTGACAGCAACCTTAAGTTATATATAAGCAACAAACATAAAACAAACACGTCAATTAAGAAACATAATAAAATAAACCAAGGGTTATATGAGTTAAGTGTTAACATAGATCTTAAAGTACATAAAACACCATAATAAAAGACAAAACTAAAGCCTAGAAACATAAATGATAAACACATAATATTTTTGTTATTTGACACACATAAATTACAAACCCTAAAATTATACCTAAATTTGTAATGATCTAAAATTGAATGAGTATTTAGTGGACGTACGGTGGCGGGGAGGGTAAGGTCTCAAACCCATCACCCGTCCACTACCCTCGACGGATATTACTTTCTAAATCTACACCCGTCCACTACCCACTAAAATTATATTCATCCCCACCCCAATATCCACAAAATTATACTCGTTTATCGTCCCTAAATTTTCCCAAGCATTATAAATTTTTTTAATCGAGAATATAAAAATCAACGACAACTCATAAAATATTTTTCACTGTCTCATTGAGATATTTTACTGTTTTAATTGGGGGCAAATTAATATTTATTTTCATTAATTAAATTTATTTAATGAAATTCTAACTTCTCACAATTTAACTTAGGGACACAATTATCTTAAAATGAAAATTAACGTAAAAATAAATAAAATTAAACATAGAAGAAAAAATATAGTTAACGATTTTATTCTATAAAAATAATTTATACATAAAATATAAGTAATTTTTTAATAAAAGAGGCAAAAAGGCATTGAAGGTCCTTGTACTTTTTTTTAAAAATCAATTTGACCCTCGTATTATTTTTCTCTCGATATGGTCCTCAAACTCAGAAAATAAATCCAATGTGGTTGTTTTACCAATGTTTTTTTTCGTTGACCGTTACAGTGCTAATGTGACAGTTCACGGTGTTGACTTGGCAATCCATGGTGGTTGATAACATGGAAAATGAGCTAAATTGGTAACTCAAATATAGCAGATGGATTGCCACACCAGCATTGTGAACTACCACGTCTAGGGCTGTAAATGAGCTGAGTTGAACTCGACTCAACTTGAAAACTCGTGGGCCTAAAATTTTAAAGCTGTACTCGAACTCAAAATCATGAAATGAAGCTTGTAAAAGCTCAAAAACGCTCGAAATGAAAAAGCTCGATTGAAGCCTCAAACTCAAACATAATCTTTAAATACAAGAAAATCTAATACTGCATTTTTTAAAAGCAACACATAAATGTTAATATTATTAATAATTTATTTTTTAAAAACATAAAATCTTAATATATTATATTTTCGAGATGCTCACGAGCTTTTCGAGTCGAGTATCAAGTAGCTCGTTTTAGCTAGTTAAGAACTTGAGTCGAGCTCGAGCTCGAATCGAGTATTTATCGAGCTTTGACCGAGTCAATCTTGAGTAGCTTGTGATATATCTCTTCTCATTTACAACCCTAACCACGTCAGCACCGTAACGACCAACGATAAAAAAACGTTGATCAAATGGTCACATTGGATTTACTTTTTAAGTTAAAGGGCCATGTTGAGAGAAAAAAATAATACCAGAGCCACATTGATTTTTTCAAAAGTACAAGGACTTCTGATATTTTTTCCCAATAAAAATGAACAATATGCAAGAACAAAGCATGATAAAATTTAAAGGATAAACATAAATAGTAATAAAATAAAATTATATACTCTAATTGTTAAGCTATTGATTTAGAATTTAAATTTTAAGCTGCTAACTTCTAATCTGTTTAATTTTGAAATTGGTATACTTGAGAAGAATTTAAACCAGAAAATGGTAGGTGAAGACTAATTTGTCTAATTTCAATACTAAGAAACATAAAAAATATTGAACTAAAAAATTGAAGGTCAGAATCTAATTTACATTTTCTCAAAACTAAGAGGAACATTAAAATAATTAATCCAAAAATATAAATGAGTAAATACTTAATTTATATTATTTCAGAAATTTGTTATATATATATTTTTAATTCTAGTGATCAGTTTAGAATGTTTCATAGCCGAGGATCTCAAAAAAAGGTTACTTATATTTGGAGGACCATTTTCATATTTACCCTAATATTTTTATGCACAGCAAGGCCCATAGAAGCCCAACAAGCAATTCCCGATAGAACAAAACCTGATCGGCCACCGCCAAAAAATTACCGGCAAAAAGAAAATCATGTTCTTCAACCTCAACAGAACGATCGCCAATCCCAAACAATGGAACAAAAAGAAGCGCAGATCTCCCTTATTTGTCCTTTCAATCTTTCTAATTTCTCTCCTTTTCTTCTTCTTCTTCTTCCCCAATTACACGATCTTCTCGACCTCTTCGAAAACCGCAAATATAGCCCTATCCCAAAAATACCCACATTGCGAAACTCGATTTCACGGGGAGAAGTTCTTGTGGTATGCTCCTCATAGTGGGTTTAGCAACCAGCTTTCTGAGTTAAAAAATGCGATTCTAATGGCGTCTATTTTGAACCGTACTTTAATCGTCCCTCCGATACTCGACCACCATGCCGTGGCTCTCGGTAGCTGCCCAAAGTTTAGGGTTCAGAGCCCTAAAGAGATCCGGATTTCCGTTTGGGATCATATCGTTGAGCTTCTTAGAAGTAGGAGGTAACTGGGTATTGCCCATTTTCTTTATTTATATTTGCGTTTCACTTAATTTCTCTTGTAAATTTTAGAACTTTTTTATGTTTGAATTTTGGGATTTTAGTTTATTTTTACGATTAATCCTCTTTTATTGGTTTTGTGGTGGCAAAATGTGGTTAAATTTGTAAAATTCAGAATACGGGGCTTTGATTTATTTTACTTATTTCTAATGAATGATGAACGTTTTAAGTCACTAGATTATTTCAGCTTATTACAAGAAAACA